GCCAAGCTGCACAGAGGCTTTACAGTAACACTCTCAGGTGCAGGAAGTGTTCCAGCTCCTTTGCCCCCAGTGCTGAAATGGAGTGCCATGTTGACCCACATTAAGACTTGAATAGTGAGGGTAGGCGAGGGGCTTCGATGTGCTTAGAAGCTGTCTGGGGTCATATTCACTTCTTTGAAGGCAGAGGGGAAAGGACAAAAGAGAGGATAGGGACAGGAGAATGGGAGAGAAACCAAATGGTTTCATTTTAATATATCCAAGTTTTAAAAAATAATCCCTGCCCAGTGCTCTGGGACAAGGCATAGTCTTTCTTCTTTGTGAGTTAGAGACGGGTAAAACATTACCCTGGGCCAGAAGGCAGCATGGAGCTAGGCTCCATGCAAGGGTCTGTCAGGTCCAGACCCTTTCTCTGTACTCTTGTGCTGGTTTTTGTTAGGCTGCTCACCAGTTGCTAGGGTTTTTTTTTTTTGTTTTGCTTCAATCATTTTCACTGATGAGAGCATCTGCTGCCATCTGTGCCTCCCCCTCCTCCCCCCGGCAGGGCTGCACACCGCCGTGGTCTGCCTGCAGAGCCAGGAGCCCTTCAATGTCCAACCTGCACACGGATGAGGGGCTGGAGAGGAGGGAAGAGGCAGCTCCATCAGTGTCCAGCTCTCCCCCTCCGTGTTTGCTAACTGGAGCTGGGCACTGCTGCAATTGTACCCATCACAGGACACCCGCAGTGCCCCAGGGTCCCAGAACTTGGTGGCTCTAAGCAAGGCTGCAGTTTGGCCTTTGAGAAGTCATCAACCTGTGAGACAGTGTTGGAGGGAAAACAGGGAAGAAAGGGCTTTGGTAAGGTCATCCAGGACATCAGCACATGGCTGGGAAGGGAGGTGAGAGTTGCTACTTGCTAGCAGCGTGACTCTGCCTCCTGGCCTGTGGAGAGCCTGGGAAGCAGGGCCGTGATGCTACAGCATAGTTGGCTTTTGCTGGAGGATTACACACCCCACAGCAGAACAGAGGTTGCCATTTGCATCTGTGTCTGACAGTTGATTTGGGTATCCAGGCTGCTCCAGGTCTGACTCACCATGCTCTGCCTGCATGCCTGGCAGCTCATCCCAGCCAGGGAACCGGCGGATGTCGACATTGGGCTGGGAGTCCTTACCTGAATGAGCTCTGTCTCATGTTTATTACTGTCAGCCCATAGAAAAAGGAGCATTGTGGAGCTGTGTTTACCAGCCAAACCCAAACCAGTTCACCCCAGCAAGGACTCGATGCGCTGCTGTCTGCAAACTGGCTTGGTGGCACTGGTGCAAGGGAGGGATCCCCGAGCCCGGCGTGGCAGTGGGGGCAGAGGCTCGGCTGAGCACTGAGACTTGCATAAGCACGGCAGGGTTTGCTCACGCACTGCCTGGCTCCCCGCCACCTTTCCCTGCCAGCGTGGAGGGTAAATGTGCACCGCTGCCCGGGGCCTCGCCTGTCACACGCGTCCCGGCTGGCACGGAGGGGCACATCCCTGCGGAGGGATGGGGACCCGCTCCTGGCTGGTTTTAGGAGCCGCGCTTGCCCGGTGCTGGGGCTTGTGGCGGGGGTTCCGGAGAAGCGGGGATGGATGGGTGGATGGATGGATGGATGGATGGATGGATGGATGGATGGATGGATGGATGGATGGACGGACCTGCGCTCCTCGCTAGGGGCAGGGCTCCCGCAGCGCCCGGCTCGCCCCGGGCGGTGCGCTGCCGGCTGCGTGCAGCGGGGAGAGGGAGCCCTCTGCCTGCCTCCCGCAGCCTGGCAGCTCCAGCTCCGCTCGGACACCCCGCTCCCCGCCTCCAGACCTCCTCCCGCCTGCTGCCGCTGCCCTCAGGGTCCCCCCCGCAGCCACTTCATCGCCCGGCCCCGAAGCATCTCCTCTCCGGACGAGGGTGACCCTCACCAGCTCGGTGGCCTTTCCCCAGGCTCACCCCGAACGCCTTTCAGCTGCCAGGGACACAAAATCAGCACAGGTGTTTTAGGCACAATGTCGCCTAACAGGGGACAATCGCTCCCCCCGAGCTAAAAAAAAAAAAAAAAAAACCCAAAAAGCAATCCTCATCAAGCTGTCAGGCTCAGTTTCCCGAAGGAATACAATTAAATCTTTAAATGGCAACGTGACCGTCAGCTCTTCCCCATCTCAAAAGATGCTTCTCGAGCTGCGTTCGGCTGTTCCTCTCTTCCACCCCCTCCTCACAGTTTTCCTTCCCGCCGCGGAGTGCAACAGAGGCTGCGGCTTCGCAGCCAAAAAAAAGTGCGATTTGGAGAGAGCGGAGCGACGTTGTGAGTGGCAGAAGTGAAAAGGCAGAGAAGCAACTCCTGAAAGCCTGCCTTCTGCCGCGGCGGGTGTCAGCCTTGGCAAAATCTGAACTTCCAGAATTTTCTTGCAAAATTAAAAAAAAAAAAAAAAAAGGCAATTAGAGGACCTGTCGGATTTGGCTGCTGCTTTTCTTTCCCTTGTTCCCTCAAAATCAAAAAAGTTATTTCTTTCTCTTAACAGCACAGTTGGTGCAATCTGGGATGTACTTGCATGACAGTATATAGGGATCTAGTTTTTCTGCTTCAATTTAGGGCTCCCTGACACTGACAAGATGAGAAATGAATGCTGAATACCTTGATGTTGCTTCACTTGGAAGATCCATGCATGAATAATTTTTTTTTCTCCCCAAAAAGATTGGAAATCTATGGGTCCCCCTTATTTCCCCTACTTTGGAGGTGCTTTCCTTCTGCTGTGGGTTTGGAGGGACTCCATTAAAGGGGAGACACTAAGAGAGAGGAAGGGAGAGCACAGGAGTTTTGCTGCCCCACAGCCCAGAGCTGCAGGTGGAGCCGAGGTGAGGGCTGTGCAGGAGCTGAGTATGATGCTACCCTGCCATCCTTCTTGCTACCCTGTTCTTGTCCATGGTGGGTCTGGGTGAACCTCCAACCTGCTGCAGCTATTTCACCTCCTACAACGTGGGTAACAAACAATAAATATGATGGCTACTAACAATTACCCTCTCTCCACCCTCGATGGGTTATAGATGCAAAAAATGCTGCTGAGTCAGTTCAATATTCCCCCTGGTTCATTAAACCAGCATCCCTTTTCCTGCAGATAAGATGGTCCGTCAGGGGAAGGGATGATGATAACTCATTTGTCACACTTGTTAAATGTGAAAAAGGCTGGCTTTGGGTCACTTCCAGTTTTGTGTCAGCTCTGCTTTTATCTGAACAGCCTCATGCCTGCATGCCAAGCAGGGAGGCTCTCTCCTATGTAGCACAGAAGATGGGGACAGTGGCATTGTCCCTGCAAGATTTCCTAGAGCTGGGGGTGGTCTCTGAGTGCAAAAGCACTTGCAGTGTGGCTGACATGAGTCCCAGCTCATAGAAAGGAATGCAATCATTATTGCAAGAGATGCCATTGGTCCCACAGGGATCTAAACCTGCAGCTTGGAACCCCTGGCACTACACACACCCCTGTCTGAGTTATCCCCCGAGCCCACCCAGCTGCACTTTGTTTGAGCTGAAAATCCTGGGAGGTGTGATGGGGGAGGATACCATGGCCTCAGACACAGCCAATGTGAGCTTGGTGCAGGTACAGGGGGAGGGAAGAGGGGATACAGCTTCATCTCTGTGCCTCTCCTAACCTTGGAGAATCCTAGGGTGGCTGGCCTGGGTCTTGCCTCAGGTAGCACTGTCCCAGTGAGATATAATTTGTCAGTTCAGGGAGGCTGCAATGTGAGTCATTTTGGCTGTACCCTCTTTGGGGGCATTGCCATTGTGACAGGCCACCTCCTTCCTCAGTCTGGGATGAGGACTGGCTATAGCCCCACCAGGCTGGGATGGAAACACCATGGCCATGACTTCTCAGGTCTTGCTTCAGGGAGCAGGAAGTAACCAAGAGAGGCTGGGAAGATTATTGACCTCTGAATGAGTGACCATAGAGCTGTTCATGGCTGAGATACTTTCAGGGCATCATATACTGCACTGCCAACTGAAACTTACCTTCAGAACAGACCCCTGATCTGGTCGGGTGTGGAAATGCTCTCCAGTGAATGGGGGGCAGGGAGGACTGCAGGTCTTTCTGCCCATAGCTCCCCCAATAAGTGAAGCCTGGGACAGGATGGAGGTGTGGAGACCTGGGCAGGAAGGAGGTGACATCTCATGATGCTTTCAGGGAAGCATCTTCATTATCTGTCCCCACATCTCACTATGGCACATCCCTCACCCAGCACAGCCCAGAGACAGCCTGCTGATTAAACCATGCACTCAGGGGATGATGAAGTGTCCCGTGACAGCCTGTCTGCATTCCCCATCTCTTGCTTCACCTCTGCTTTCAGGGTGGTGCAAAGGTGGATCCTGATGCCTTCTCCCAGCTCCGTGGCTGGTCCGCAGTGATTGGTGCCCCTTGGCATGAGGTCTTCTTACAGCTGGAAAAAGATGAGGCAGCTGTGGCATACGAGATGAGATGAAGGGTCAGAGGGGCTGATAGACTGTATTTTAGTCCCGGTCTTGCCATTCATTTATGGGTGTTTTCAAGTCAGGATGTGTTGATTTGCAGCATGCCAGGCAGCTGCAGGCAGCTATGGGGCAGGGCTCTGAGCTCCTGCCTGTTTCAGTGGTAAACGCACGTCATCTCCAAAATCTGGCTCTTCATAATGACCCTGGGAAGTGCTGCAGTGGCAGCAGGTTCAGACTGTGGCAATTTATTTCCCTCTTCAACGTTGGTCCTAGCAGGGGAGGGGGCCTGCCCGCTTGGCTGCCTTTGCCTGCTTGCCACAGATCGTCCATCAAGGAGTCACCGAGGTCTCTGCTCTTAAATCTGGGTCTGCGCTCTCCTTCACGGCTGCGTGCGGCCCCGACCTGCAGCAGCATCCCTCACTCCTGCTTTAAATCTCTCCCCAGCAGCTGCTGGTGACATTGGTGACATTAGCATTTTCTCTTGCCAGCCCATGGAGACCAGGAGACCAGCCCTGCTAAGGAAGGAATTAACCCAGCAGCATCACATATCAGAGGTATCTTTTTATTGACTGTTTACAGAAATACAGTAGCACTCCAATTAGGTGGCTGAGGCGAGTTCTCCAGGAGGTGCCTTTCTTCTCAGCACTGCTGGGAGATCCCAAGGAGAAACCTGCCCTTTAACACTTTGGGGTTTCTCTGGAGGCTTTGGGGCTCCCCAGCACAAACTTCCTAACACCTTCAGCTCTCCAGGGGTTGGGAGTTGGTTGAACCAGTGGATGAAATTCAAGAGAAAAAGAAAAGGAAAATAAACCCCCACAAGCTGGAGGTGGTGGGGCGGTTTGAACACACCTGATATGTTGTAAGCCAGCCCTGCCATGATCCCTGTCCATCACTGTATGTGTCTCCAGCTCCACAGGACCCCACTGCTTCCTAGAGCTCAGCTGTTTGCCACTAAGTGTGCGTAGCTCTGGGCTTTGCACGCTCTTTTCACACAGCTTGTTGGCCATAAAACAAATATTTCTTGGTCTATTTTTCTTCCTGTACATGTGTAAGAGTGAGACCCTTTCCTTCAGCTGTTCACATACCATTTCAGGGCAAGAAAGGTATGCTCAGCTGGGCTGATAAACTAATTTAACATTTATTTATGTATTTAATTGACTTTTTTTTTTTTTTTTGGCAATCAAGGTGTAGTGGTTGGCTTGTTTTGTGTGTCCTTGCTACAAGAAACTGCAGACACTTCTGGCGTAGAGGCATTTTGGCGGCAGCAGCTGCTGTTGGCCTCACTCAGTAGTCAGTGAGAGGGTATCGCAGGAAGATGAAGATCAGGATGATACAGAAGGTGGCAAGGGCTGAGCTGGTGATGTTAAAAAGCCGGGCTGTCTTGGCATCTTCAACTGCTCCATTTAAGTCATTGAGCAGTTTCTTATCTCGGACCTGAGACAAAAAGATAATTAAATAAAGTAATTGCAATATGTATGAAAGACATAACTTGTTTCAAGCAACAGCCACAAAGCCCAGTGCACCTGTATGTGGTTACCTGTACAGGTGCACTGTGAGGGCTGGGCTGGGCCTCTTTGTATTTGAGCCCTTGGGGTGCCATAAAACACCCTGAGGTGAGGTTTGCACCCCATCTCTGCTATGGGTTGAGCTTGTGAAGCAAAGCACTTTAATACCTGTGGGTTAGAAATTCTTGGAAGCAGAGAAGACCTGAAAGAGTGACTGGTTGCTATTACCAACCAGGCAAACCAGGGCCCCACGGTCCCCAGAGTGGAGCAGTGTCATCTGGAGTCTGAGGGTGCACAAAGGAACTGAGATGCCATTGTACACCCCAGGCACACAGGCACTAAAGCACACTTTCCACTGTGCCACATCGCCCTGGCCCTGCAGTGCCAGGCAGGGCTCACCCAGCTCACAGGGGAGAAGGCTGGCTGCAGTTCTGGTGTGCATCCCCGTGCCTCTGTCTGCACCGAGGGGCCAAGCAGGTGGAACCTGGCACGGCATCCTACTGCAGCTCCAGGGCTGTGCACGAGCCTCCAGCATATTAAGTAGTGCTGGGTTAATGAGTTCCCTTCCTTTTGCAGGGCTTATGCGGATTGTGTAGCATCTCTGCCACAGGCAGTTTTCCATTCTGACAGCACGGTCTGCTCCCTTCACTATCCCACGGCCTGGGACTTTATGGGCTTTCCTTGGGACAGCGCTGCAGTGGGCGATGATTGTGCATGTCCATGTCACTGGGCTGTCCCCACCTCTTCAGGCTGCCAGGCAGTGCATGGCACTGCCAGCAGCAATGCCACCAGCGGGCATTACCGATGTACTAGCGACAGCATTACCAGGCAGCAGATGGCACTGCAAGGCAGCAGATGACACTGCCAGGCAGCAATGGCATTACCAGGCAGTGGATGGCACTGCCAGGCAGCAGAAGGCAGAGCCAGGCAGCACATGGCACTGTAAGGAAATGATGGCATAGCCAGGCAGCACATGGCACTGTAAGGAAATGATGGCATAGTCAGGCAGCACATGGCACTGTAAGGAAATGATGGCATTGCAAGGCAGCAGATGGCACAGCCAGGCAATGATGCTACGAGCAGGCAGAGATGGCACCAGGAGGCAGTGGATGGCACAGCCAGGCAGTGACAGCACAGCCAGGCAGGCAGCGATGGCACAGCCAGGCAGCTGATGGCACTGTCCACCAGCAGCAGCTCTGCAGTTAGATCCCAGCAGAGATGGGGTCAGACTCCACTGCTTCCTAGCAGGGACATGTCCCTGTCGCCAGGCTGCCCCTTCAGCCAGCACTCAGAGGACTCAGGCAGCTGGAGCCACAGGGATGAACAAAAGGACCTGGACAATAGGAGCTGGATAAAAGGACCAGGACACTTGACTCCTCATCCATCTCCTGTATCCAAGCGGGGTGCCCAGGGTGTGGCAGGGCCTGCCCCACTGCCTGCTCTCGGGTGGGGGCTGTGGGGAGTGGGGCTGTGAGCCCCTTGCCTGCCCTGCTGCCAGCAGTGAGAGCCCCGCCAGGCACTGCTGGCTGGACACCAGATGTAGGTGGCAAGCTGCAAAAGCCAGCACCAGAGTCAGACCGAGGAATATTAAAAGGCTTTTATCGATTAGGAGCTTTCCAAAAAGACACTGCAGCAGATTCAAACCACATCTTACAGACTTTTCTCTCTTCCTCCTGCAGTGCTTACCCATAAGGCTGTCCTGAAAGCTGGACACGGGGAAGGGTTGCTGCACCCCTTGTTCTCACTGAGTTGTGCTGGTTCATGAGTCCTCCAAAACTGCATTTCAGACCCTCAAGCAACATTCTTCCTCTCCACCACAGCAATGAGGACCTCTCTGCACAAGCAACCCCTGATCTTCTGAACTGTGGGTAGGGAAGCTGCTGTTGGCATAAGACCCACAGGATCTGGCGCTGGCAGGCACATAGGCAAGAATGAGCCTATTTTTAATACATACTTGTATCAAATCAAACTATGCTGTGTCCTCGGCCTCTGATGTGCCCTGCTCGTTGGAGCCTGGAGCTGGAGCTGGAGTCATCTACTCATTGCCCTGCTGTGGAGGGCTCAGCTCAGCATCCTTCTGGGATCAGAAGAGGGGACAGTCACAAACTACATGTGTCTTTGGGGCACACTTGGCTGGAGCTCTCAGCAGAGGAGATGATCTCTGGGAAGGCATCAAGCCGGCAGCTTGGGAGCCCACATGCCTTTCTGTGTCAGCTGCATGTCGGGGATGACTCACATTTGAAATTACTCCGTAAGTTTAACATCCTCCCCAAAACCCCTGGGCTCAGCAGCACCAGACAGTTGGCACCTCCTCACACACTGGTGAGAAGCCCCAGAGGTGCTGGATTCAGGCCAGAAATCCCGCTTGCTGCTCCCAGCAGACTCTTTGAAGCTCTCACACACTTTCCTCTTCCCAGCGGTGGGGCTGCCTCAGGCAAAACCGACATGGAGCAAATGCCTTTTGCCCTTCCTGCACTGCAACCCGGTGTTCTCTGCTGCAGGCAAGCTGGCGTTTGCTGACAGCGTTTGCCAGGCAGACAGAGGTTTCTCCAGCACACCGGCATGGCCAGCTCTGCAACCCTCCCGCAGCCAAGCCGCTTTACCTTTGTGAGGCCAGTTCCTCTTGGCCCCAGGAGCTGTCTCAGCTCCTCTCCCTGGGGTGCCCTACAACCCTCATTTCCATGCTCAGCCTTCTCCAGTGCTCCCAGCAGCATCTCCCACCCGGCACCAGCTCGTGGCTGGTGCTTTAGCCCTTTCCCACGACACGCTCCAGCAGCACCTCTCCTTGACTTTCCCATGGCTCTCCCTTTGGCTCCTGTCATGCTGCTGCTGCTGTGTCGAGGGGTGCCTGGGGCTGCCTTCTTCCCAATGACACCATTTCCCCACAGTTCCATTTTTTTATCCCTTCTATCTCTTCCCTTTCCTGTTGTTTGGGTCCAAATGACGGCCGCCTTTGACTCCTACCAAAGGGCACCCAGCTGCCTCCTCTCCCTGCACCTCCAGCTGGTCCCACCCACACACTCCTGCTAATGCCTGTGGCTTCAGTGGTCACCCTCATGAAAATCATCCCTGATTGCCCATAACCATTTACACTCAAATAGAGCCTCTAAGCGCCGGACAAGTGCAAGGGTCCCCATGGCAAAAAAGCGCAATGAAAATGAGTTTCTCCTTACACACCACTCACAGCTCCAGCCTCCCACGTCTCTCCAGAGCAGCCTCCTGCATGGCTTTGCACCCCCAGATGCTTCCAGATGTCTCCCTTTAATGTCCTACTGTGGCAACTGAGCCAGGCTCTGGAGGAGCTCTCCTGGAGAGCAGATAAGTGTTTCAGCTCCTTCCCTGCTTTGTCCTTAAGGAGATGCTGGTGTCTTTCTTATAGACCAGCTTCAGCTTTTCCTATTTTCATGCTCCTGTGGCCATCATCGTCATAATGTGCTGGCAGCTGGTGCACGAGCTTCTGGGAGCCCTGGAAGCTGATTCTTTCCATAGCCAGAGAGATGAAGCACAGTGAGGGACAGGTCCTCAAGGTCACAAGGTTGAATCCCCACCCTAGACCCAGGTGTGGTGTCTTCTTAGCCACAGGCTCTTCTCGTCATCCCTTTGCCCTTCTCACCTTGCCTAAAACTAGATGGGGATTTTTGGCCCTGCTTTGCACTGAGATGACCAGAGTGTGAGGATAATTACATCTGCTGATTGGGGTTTCCCTGGGCACCTTTGGAGATCCTCCCCAGACAAGGCAGAGTTCACCTCTGATCCAGGCTGGCAACTTACACAATTTCTTTTTTCTTCCATCCCTATCCTTACATGAAACACAGCCAGCTTTTGTGCTCTAACATGCAAACCTTTCTCCTCTCCTTTCCCACCAACAAAAGGTGGTGTGGCCTATCCATCCATCCATCCATCCATCCATCCATCCATCCATCCATCCATCCATCCATCCATCCATCCATCCATCCATCCATCCATCCCTACTTGCCTGTCACCTCCCTGCTGCTCACCTTCTCTTCCAATATCTCCATCTCACTGTGTCCTCCCATACATCCAGTGTATCAGTGCCCAAGGGTTCTTTCTCTCCTCCCTCTCATCACCGTCCTCTGCCCTTTGTTTCCTTGGGGTTTGACATTCTGCTTCCTCTCCAAGTGCTCCCCTTGGCTCCCATCACCCCAGTCCCTCCCCCAGCAGTCGCCTCCCCTCTCTCTGCCCTGAGGCTCAGCCCCTCTTGTTTTTGGGAGCAGCAAACTTGCTGCTGTAGTCAAAAGTGCTGCCTCAGCTTGCAGAAGGAGACAAATGGTTTGTTGATAACGAGTCTAATGAGGCTGTTTTTAAGGCAGCCTGGAAGTCCACAGCTGGTTGTCAGTAAACCCATTTCTGTGCAGAGCTCCCTGCACAGAAGGAGCTCTGGAGGCGATTCTTGGATTTATTTGCTCTGTGAGTTGCTCAAGAGCTCTCCAGCCCACGTGCCTCCACCACACCGGCACCGGCATCACGGGACTGTCACCCCTGCATTTCACCCACGTCCATAAACCATTGCTCCTTCCCAAAAGCAGGATGAGAGCCTGCCTGAGAGGCTGGGTGCGGCAGCTTCTCAGGGTTAATAAATAGCTGTGGATTTGTGCTGCTCTGCTTCCACTCGAAACAAGGAAGATCAACAAGTGGCAAGAGAGGAGGGCAAACAGTCGTGCCCACAGCTGTGTGCTAAGGGCTGGGCAGAGAGAGGGCAAGAGAGCTTGGCATGTTTCCATGACCTCAAGGGGCAAGAAAACTCTGCAAGCAATGCTGTGGGCTGCCGGTGAGGCTTAAAAATCCAGCAAGGCTCCTTGGCATCTTCATCTCTATAGAGCCACAGCGAGGCATCCATACTGCAGCTCATCTCAGATCCCAGCTCCTCTGATCTAGTGCCTCATGGCACAATGGGTACAGAGGACTTGGCTCACCCTGACAGTCTCCAGAGACGAAGCTCTGAACAACTGAAGTGAGATCTCCTGCCACCAGGCACTGATGCATCATTCATTACCACTTGGAGCTGGGAGAGGCGAAGGGAGCGAGCTGCTGAATATCAGACCACAGCATTTCTGTTCCACTTCTGATCAAAACCAACTGAATCCAAAGTGCTGCTGTTGGAGGGATACTTTTATCTGTGCTGGGCTGGAGTTAGGGTTACTTTAGGGTTTTTTTAACTTCCCTGGTCCTGCTGTTGATCTCTCCTCCCACAGCATCCAGCACACATGATTAGATGCAAGTGCCTTCCTTGCACTCAGGGAGGCTGACCTTGAGAAGCTTGACATGCTAGAAATGACCCCTGGAGGGATCCATGAGTTGTGTGACCCCATTGTAGCCCAGCAAGCTGTGCTTGCTGAGGATCTGGCCTGCTATGGGGGTAAATAAAGATGAGGCATGCTGCCACACTCCATTCAGGCTGTGACATCTGTCACACACAGAACCTGCCTCGTATGTCACAGTTTCTGCCCTCACCTGCCTTCATGTGTTTCTTTCTTCACAAATTCTTTGGTGGTGGGGTGGGGGTTTTGGACATTTTTTTAGTAAATGGTTAACACGACAAAATAGCATTTCCCTGCAGAAAGAAATCTAGAAGTCTGCAGCTAGCATGCAAAAGGCCAGGCAGACATGCCCGTTTTCCCAGATGTGGCTGAAACCAATAAAATAGGGCATGAAGAAGGAGACAGCTTCACAGTAATATTCAAGTGTACCAAGGATATATCTGTCTTCCAGTGTGGGCATTATGCTGCTGAAACCAGAGGAAATGCTAGGGTGTGCTAAGATATATACTGAAACATTTCATGGACTCGGGTCATGAAGGAGATACTGCTTTATTAACAGTATAAATCTGTCAGAAGCAGGTGACCTTTATGACAGGGAATTGAAAATGCTATTTCTGATAATGAAAACGATAATTCCTGAAGTTGCTAGGTGTTTTAGTTATTTAGAGGAAGTGTGAAAGCTGTAACCCAGGAACCACTTAATGGTAGTGCACTGATGGCCCTTGAGGGCTCTGCTGTCAGGGGTCCCAGAAGAGGCTCAGGGAGAGGAAGGTGCAGCTTCATTCTTCTTCCTACTGCCCCTTAGTCAGTCATTTCAGAGCACAGACATCCTAGAAAGGTCATATTTAAGTTCTTACTGCTCAAATGTCCTTACATTTAATCGCAGAGGAACAAGAGAAGTCTGTTTAAAGGGATGTCTGTCCCCAGGGCATTTCTTGCTCCTGTTTTCTCTGAATTTCTGGGAAAAACATTATTGACAGTAAAAGAGAAGAAAACGTGTTTCTGGAAAAATAACCACAACACCCAGCCTGTCTAGGGTGTTGTGAAGATCCCTGCAGTAGCTGTGGGTAAGGAACACAGCTGCTGTTCTGAACATCCCAGTCTTCCCCAGGACAGACCTGCTACTGCCCCAGCATCTGCACTGCTTCTCACCACCCACCCCAACAGCAGCTCATGAGAGCACTCGGCATCCCTTCAGCCACTTGCTAGCTCTGTCCTTTGCCTCTGAGGGACATTTTGTTTCTATTTTCCCCCTGCCACAGAGTCACAGCCACTGGGGAGCTCCAAAACCAGAGCAGAGTTATTTCTACCCGCTCAGCGTTACCTCTGTTTGGGTACCGCGGTTACATCCCATCAGCTACCACCTTCTCAGCCCGAAAGCCAAGGCTGGCTTTTGACAGCCATCTTCTCTTCTCCTTTCTCTGATTTGGAGCAAATTTGCCCGTTTTCCTTCCCTCGCCACTGCATCTCTTTTTCATGTTTGAATTTGTGTTCTCTAGGTTTTTGCAGACAGATGCTGAGCCCACGCCTCTGTCCTGGTGCAAGGCCCTGGGTTGCTTCTGGGCTTTGCCCTTCCTTCCATCCCATGTCAAGGATAGTGAAGGGTCCAGCCTCTAAAAACTCTGTGGGTGGCACACACTACTCTATCTTGTCACCAGGGGATGGGTCAGCCCTGTTCTCAGGCCGTCCTGCCCTCCCTGCTGCAGCAGCAAGCAACCACAGGTACCCAGATACCCATGGTAGCCTCTTCCACAGGAAAGATGTCAATTGTTAAAGGCAAGTACAGACAAGGAAAGGCTTAAAAAAACAAGGAGGAGGCCAGTTTTTTCTTCCCTTGCTGGATCAAGGTGTGAGGGGTGTTAAGGGACCCACTCATATTAGCCTGCTGCTGACTGGATTTGCCCTTTGCTTGTGGTGATGCTTCGCACCAGGATTAAGTTATTAATTGCCTCACCCAGGCAGCAGCAGAGCCTCCTGCACAGGCAATGGATGAAGGCTCACCTCCCATCTTGGGGAATGAGAAACTGAGGCAGGCACCAGCAGGCCAGTACTCGGTGAGCTCAAGACACGGAGCCTCAGACTTGTCCCTGAGCCTTTCTGATGGAGACCTTGACAGTGCTGGGAGCAGCCTCCTTGCAGTGCTGGGTGCCCACAGTCCAGCTCACAGGAGCTGTATGGGGTTAATTGATCGGCTTCTGTGATGAAGCCCGTCTGCACCCTGGCCTTCCTCTAAATGCTGCCTGCCAAAACAAATCAGCCAGCTCCTCTCCGGGCCACCCAGCCGCCCCGGGCTCTCTGCACATCCATTCAGTTAGTTTTGCATCTGGCAGGCAGGAAAGGGGAGGGCAGCCCAGGCCCCTCTCTCCTGGCAGCTGCCAAGGTGCTGCCTGTTTGCCAGGCACCATCCCTGCCGGGCTGCTCTCCCCTGCAGCTATCAGGAATAATAACCTGGTCCCATTCCCATTATGGGCTGTGCTCCACGCCATCACCCTCTCCAGCAACACAGCTCTCTATCCCCACAGCCCACTGTGGGAAGCCCCCTGCACTCTCTTCCACCTCTCACCATTCCCATGATGCTGGCAGGTCTCCAGGCCTTGTTTTGGGATTTACAGGGCTTGGGCTGGGGGAAGCTGGCCACGAGCTCTGGTGCTTTAATTATGGAGAGGGCAAGAAAGAAACAGGCAGGATTGCCCTGCACTTTGTAAGCTTCTTACCCCCTGCAACTTGCCAGCTGATGGCTGATGATGGCTGGCTGCTTCTTACTGTTCCTGCCTGACCATCCAATCCTGCTGGGTCCTATCCTGATGATCTCTAACAGCCAGGATCCCAAATAAGCGACCTAGTGCCGGCATGCCTGCAGGTGCAGCATGAGCCAAAGCAGCCCTGTGTTGCCTGCCTGTCACCCTGCCGCCGCGGTACAGGGGAGCCTCTGAGGGTACTTGGAGCAAGTGAAAGCACCTCTTCCCCACCTGAATAACATCCCAGGTTCCTCAGCTCTTCCCATCCACATCCCCATTGTCTGCAGCCTCTCATTTGGGTGGCAAAGACGTGTTTCACATCAGGCACAGCTCCCAAACGCTTCCCCCCTGCCTGGTCAACCCCTACCCCGAGCCCCGCGCTCGGTACTCACTTTCAATGAATAGGCCAAGGCGATGAAGCCGAGGCAGCAGAAGTTGAGGTATACAAAGTTGAAGATGGACCAGAGATAGTAGTCGTTCACCTCGGTGGTGTCAGGGTAGATTTCGATGACAGTGGTGGGGTTGGTCATCGTCTTCTTCTCCACCGAGTGCTTGCACGGGACCGCTGGCCGCAGGCTGTCCCCTTTGCAGCTCTTGCTCTCCATGAGATAAACGGCAGAAGAAGGAGACAGGACGGGCGAAGCTTGCCGGAGAGCTGGGGGCTTGGCGATGCAGGCGAAGCAGCCCTGCGGGGGTCCCTGTGGGGGTCTCGGGGTCCAGGCCACCCCCTCAAAGGGGCATGGCGGGCCCAAGGGGGGGTCCTGTGTCCTCTCCGTGGTGGCTGCCGCGGCGTCACCGCGCTCTGCCCTGGCAAAGCGAAAAGCCCCCCCGTCAAAAATGGGGGTGAGGGGATGGAAAGGCCGGGAGCAGAGTGAAAAGAGAAAGGGGGGGGGAAGGAGCAGAGAAGGGGAGACGTGGGGGGAAGGCAGGAGAGACAGAGAGGGACCGGGAGACCGAGGAGAGAGCAGGGAGAGGAGTGAGGGAGTGGGCAGAGGAGAGAGGGAGGAGAGTAGGGCAGGCAGGAGGGAGGAGGGAGCACCGCTACACCCGGGGACCACGACGCCGCCGCCTCGGCGCGGAGCTGCCGCCGGCCGCGGCCCCGCGGCGGGGGCAGCGGTGCGGGCAGGGCGGGCAGCATCCCTCCCCCGCCGCTGCCCCTGGCCTGCGTGACCCGCCCGCCAGCCACCGCCGGGGAAATAATCTTTTTTTTAAAAAAAAAGGAGACGAATAAAAGCAGAAAGAAACACTCGGGAGGCGCCGGGGGGCTGCGAGGGAGTTGTCAGCCGGCCGCGCTGCAGCCCCCGCAGCCCTCCCCGCCCGCCTGGCTGTCGGTCTGTCGGGGCCTTCTCCTTTCTGTCCCATGCCGGGATGGGAGCCCGTGGCTCGGCTGCGGGCGGAGCGGGTCTCCCGGTGCGGCAGAGCAGCCCGCCCCTCCGCCCTGCCTCCCTCCCTCCTTCCTTAGGGGGGTGGGTATTTTGGGGGGGGGGGATTTTTTTTCCCCTGAGTCCTAGCCTTTACGGTGATTCAATTTCCCGGTGCCTTCCACCTGCCAGCAGGTTTCTCATACCCCGCTCCCTCCACCTTTTTTTTTTTTTTTTTTTAAATTAAAGGATATCGTGGCTGAGGAGGTGGAGGAAGAGGAGGAGGGGAAGAGGGGATGAAGACAGAGGACGGGGAAGGGGATATTAGAAGAAGTTCCCCTCCACCCTAGCTTTGCAAATAGGAGAGACTAGTCCACCTCTGGCTGCCCGTCCGTCCGTCCATCGGTCTCCTCCGAAGGCATCAGGAGGAGCGAGGGATACTCACAAGGAGGGATGCGGGGAGTCGCTGCATATCCGGCTCAGCACTGCCTCCGGCTCGGCTTCCTCGGCGCTGGAGTTGAAGGAGGAGGGGAGGGCGGGGAGGGGGGCACCCATGGACTAGGGATGGGCAGGGACAGAGTTAGGGGATGGGAAGGTCAACCTGCAGCCCCCTTTCTCCCCCCGAACATGCTTCACGCAGGAGAGTTCCTCCGTGTCTCAGCCCTTCTCCTCGTGTCCCCCCCACTGGGACGTCACCTCCTGCTTGGAGCATCCTGGTAGCGCCCCGCTGGAGAAGGGCATCTCCCCGGCCCCGGCCGAGCGGCTTCCCCGAGCCCACAAGGGGATGCTCGGCCCTGCTCTCCCCAGTGTCACCCACAGAGACATTTGCGGCGGGGACTGGCTGCAGCCTTGTTTGCGGGTTCACAGCTACGGACCTGGGTGAAAAACTAAAATAAGTGTGGCAGGAGTGCGTGGGGACAACCGGAATTAACGAGGTGGTGGTGATGCAATGCTGTGGGGAAAAACGGGCTCTGCTCTTGAGGGGATGAATGGAAAGGGGATAAATCCTGTGTGTGAGGTAATAGATCCTGCTGGCATGGAGCAAATCCCAGCGCAGGCAGGGGTGGGAGCACTCCGGCAGCAGGATGCACAGCGTGTGGCTGTCCTAGGGGAGGGGGGTGGGGGTGTCCTGGTCAAGCCCGGGAGGATTTGGCTGTGCCCAGGCTTATCACAGGATCAGGGATGTGCTTGCTACCTCCCATTGCTAGCGCTCGGGAGGCTGCACGGAATCCCAGCTCTAGGGTGCTGCGGTAGAGTCCCCCCAGGGACATGATGGTGGAGAGCAGCTGGTGCCGTGCAGGGACAGCTTGCAGGTCGTTCAGGAGGATGCACGGGGAGGGTGAGGACACAAGGACACGCCGTGTCACCCCACAGTGACATAGCCTGGCGCAGGTGGCCTTGTTGCAGCAGGCAGTTCAGCTGCGGTGCTAGGGAAGGGTAGCAGAGAAATCCCCGGGATACAGGAAACGGGGTGGGTAGAACAAAAGTTCATGTGAACAGAAACTGCAAGGGAAGGGAAATCCTCTGGAAAAGCCTTAAGCCTACCCACAAAGTGCTGAGCTAAGAAATAAGGATGGTAATTCACTCAGCTCTTCACAGGCAGGTTTGGCTCCAGTGTAGGGGCACCCACCCTGTGCTCATCCCTGTGGGTTGGTCTGATGTGGGGGCACTTCTTGCACATCCACAGGTCTCTGAGACTGGAGGAGGTCCAGTTTCCATGAGACCAATTTAATCCTTCTGAAGCCCGCATTGGTTAAAAAAGGACAAATTGCCCTCTGGTTCAGGATTTATCTCTGCTGGAGTGGTGTTGGGTCCTGCCAAAGTAAAGAAGGTTTTATTAGTGCTACAGCTGCCTGTGATGAGATCCAGATCTCTCTCCAAGAAGCTGCTAAGAAACAGAGGCCGTGCTAGGGTGAGAGTGAGGCTCCTGTGGGATTAAGAGGTTTGCAGGAGAGGCAGAGCCATGGCCAGCTGTCGTCAGCTTTTCTTGAGGGCTTGGAAAAACTCAGCTGTGCAGTGTATCCTCCCTGCAGGCTCAGGAGGAACAATGAAACCCCATGGATGCAGACTGGAGCTACTGATGAGCCTGCTGTTCGTTTGTCTGGGGAAAGTTGTGTGGGTAAGGCTGCTCCTCTTCTTAATGTCAGGCAGGGATGGAGGGTGAGCAGAGAAAAAGGTCAGAGGAGGTTTGGAGCAGGCACGAGGAGGCAGCAGGGTGGTGTAGGGGAATGTGAGTTCAGCAGAGACAGTCACATTCCCTGCTATGAAGAGGACTAAAAGGTCAGCGAGGTTGAATATCTGCTTTTCCTCTTCTCCAGGTACCAGGTTTGCTACAGTTTGCAGACACTTTTTGGTCTTTGGGTGAGTGATTTATCATCTTCCTCAATGTTAATTGTGAGTGGTGAGAGGTTTATTACATGGACCACAGTGGCATATATGCAGCATCACTGGTTCAACAACCATTCATGTGACCCCAAGGAACTGACATAAAAAATGGAAGGAATAAAACCCCTCAATATTCTACATTATTTTAACCCTCCTCCAATTTTCTGGGCATCTTCAAAGGTCATGCATACACACCCTCAACCACATGGTCTAGGACTAGTTTCCTGTCAAATAAAAGGTGGGATGAGTATGAATAATTGCCTGCATTCCTGTGGCATCAAGGCTGGCTTCTCCTTGTGCTAAGCACGGGACAAACACAACAGAAGGATGCTTTCTGCCCCAAAGCAATTCTCCCATAATCATGCTAGAGACATGTGGGCTGTAGCATAATCAAGTGCTGTAAAGACTTGTGAGAAAATCTTCTGTCTCAAATCCTACTCAAGCTTTCCAGAAACCATTAGAAGAAGAACCTGACCCTGCTTCTTCTATTTTTATTATTTTTTTTTATTTCAGAATGAAAAAGTCCACAGCCTCCTGAATACTCCTTTCCTATTACCCCATAAAATTGCTCAGTGGGTTGCTAAGTTCCATAAGCAGTAAGGCAGCCTGAGACTCAGAGGGGTAAATCAAATCTTCCCACTCTCCCTTGATCTCTGTCTCCTGTTCTCTGAGCTTTCATTCTGCACTCCTCTTCTCTTCCCTCCCAAAGAAACCTAAAAATAAATAAATCCAGGAAAGAGCGGAAAAAGGAAAAGCCATCAGCCCCCAAAACGATGTGCTTAGTCATTCATGGTGAGTAAAAATAGTTTCCCAAATGAACAAATTGCTGAGCCAACCAGATGAGCAAGTCATCTCCATAAATGAGGGGTCTCATCTTCCATTGTGTTAATCAGCTTTTGGTAAAGCCCTAAGCAGAACTGGAGAAGGATCTGGTCCATGAAGACAGCCATAGGGGTCAGTGCTAGGCACCCTACTACTTAAGGGGACATGTAATGAAAAATTTGATGGTTTTTTGCAGTAATGGAGACATTTAATGAAGAGTGAAATACCAAATTGTCATGTGCATGGAGTTCTGTAGAGATGGTGCAGTAAACAGGGGGGCTGAAGTAAACCTGAGGACTTTCTGGGCAAGATAGTGGGTGGCTGCATTCAGGCTGCTCCTGGGCAGTGTGTGCTTTGCTCCCTGCTGGAAAAGCATGGGTGGGCAATTCTGGCTCTTGGCTTCTCCTGCTCTTGGCCAAGATCAAGGCTGTGATTGTTGCCACTGGGATATAATGTTCAGTACACAAGGCACGATTGAAGACTTAGGCAGAATCCCCCCAGCAGAAATAGGGCCCTCATATTCTTGTCAATAAATATTTGGCAGCAAATGATTTGTTCTCCCCTTGGGCTATTGAGGAACAGTGGGCTGCATGATTGGTTTTCAGGATCCAGCCAGCCCTTTTGGGTTAAATCCATCTCTTTAACATAGGAGAACAGCTGATTGGGGAATTTAGGCATCCTGGGGGAACAGAGGCTCAGGACATGCCAGTAGGGAAATCAGCTAAGCTGTGTGCTTAGATCTGCACTCAGAAGATGGGATGGGACTTGGCTGCATCCATCTTGCTTATGTAGATGATGCTTTTTTCAAAGTAGGGATTAGCTCTTATCTTCCACCTGGCACATGGGGCCTTCATTCCGCTTCAGAGTCTCCAGCTCCTATACAGCAGTGCTAGGACTAAAAATGACACAGCTAGGCAAGAGGGATGGATTTTTCCTACATTGTTGAAAAAACCCTACACCATGTTCATCACTGGGCTACACGAGTTCCCCAGACTTCTAGCTGAGTTTAGGCCAAATTTAGACACTGAAGTTCCACTTTGGCTGCTACAGGACCATTCCAAATCCTGAGCAGGAACTTGTTCTAATCCTAAACAGGAACTTGTTCTAACTGGTCCAGACGATCAGGGGACAACTTGAGTTCCCTGTTAATGGACTACCCCTGGCAATACTCAGCTGGGGAGGTGTGGCCTAGGAGAAGGCTGTAGACTAGCAGGGACGCTGGGAGTGCCCGGTGCCCCAGTGGTGCTGGGTCAGGCAGCTGGCATTGTCATGTCACCTTGCAGAGGCTGAGCTGTGTTTTAATCCATTGAAAACGACAAATCCAACAGGGTCCGAGTGTGTTTCCTTATCAGAGAGAAAGGGAGGAGCCCTTCTGAAACACAAAGGAGTTCACACAAGAGGGCGACCAGATGCCCAGGGATAATAGGTCAGGGAGACAGTCTCTGCACACCCACGAAGTTTGGCATCTCAAACTGCAAAAGGAAAGACCACTCTCAGAGTTAAAGGGGAAAATACTGTATTTTCTTGTCAATTTTCTATGAAGAGACAATTAATTCTGACAGCAAAATAATTTTAAAAAACCAGTCACACGATTAGAGATGGTTTAAAAATGCAAATAACAGAACAAGGGGAGGAGACCCATTCAGGGAAGACTGCAGTGAACTGGTCCTCCAGCCTATCCTACAGTGTGTCACCCAGGGCATCACTCTGGGCCATGCTTTCCCAGGCAGCTGCCTCCTGCCTGCTGACAGACACCAGCCCACCTGGAGTCACTGTGCTGGGACCACACAGGCAGTGGGAGGCAGCGCACGCCCAGCTCAGCCATGGCCCAAGGGCTCCATCTGGGGCTGTGCTGCACATCCCACTTCAATCTCATGCTGAAAATGTTCAAAAGCCACTGCCAGGTCCATGTCCAGCTTCCACCCCACATCAGGTCTATTCAGCAGGTACCCAAGAGGCCACCTCTGTCTTCCCATGCTGAAGAAATCCTCCTGCTGGGAAACGATGTAGCAGAACTTGGAGGAGATTGGGGCACTTAACTGGTGTGAAACTGAAGATCCCTGGAGAGGTGCTGAATATTTGCTAATTTTGGAGCAGCTACTAAAGATTTTTTTTTTTTTTTTGGTAACATGCTACTGTTCTCTGGCCAGTCTAAAAGAGATGTCCTTTGGTGTCCAGATGCAGAGCTCCAGGTGAAATTATGAGGAGGCAGAAGCAAGCTTTGGGGAGCAGCATTTGTCACATCTGGGGTTATAGGGGACAATTCATGTGTCCCGCATGTGCCTATGCCTGTCCCCACTGTCCATGCCAGACCCCTCCAAGGTGAAGCATGGTTACAATGCCAAACTTATTCCACTGGAAAAAACCGTCTATTCTCTCACTGCACAAAGACATTTCTCAAAAAATTTCTTGGGCCCACTGCTACTGCTGGCAGGATTATTAGTGAATTTTGGGTAGCCAGGATTTTGCCATCTGTTTAGCCTGGTTTGAGGTCATGGCCACCACTGATCTTATCTTTTTGCCACTCCAAGATTTGTTCCTTATCTGCTGCCACTCCCTTA